AAAGAGTGAGCATCCAAAACACTTTTCTTTATGTTCTGTAATGCGTGTGGTTTTGGCTTCTAAAATTGCTATAAATATATTCCGAAGATATTGCGTAAATGTATATACATGACAGAGGCTCTCATCACCCGCATGTGTATGGAAATCTCGCCTCTGATGCTTCAGGATTTAATTAGAAAATGCTGGTGGACTTATCTCAATTGCACTGCAATTAAGAACCAGTGGGATATTGCTTCATCACAATATTTATCACATATTTATACTATATCTTGTTTTATCTATTCCAAAGAAGGAGTCTTTTTGCCAAAGAGACCTTACTTTTCTTAAGGTGTGCTTCTTAGCCATGATAAAAATTCATGTCATCTGTGGCAATGTCCAAACTGTTCCTTTCAGAAAGAATTGGAAGATGATACAGACAGGTCTGTTCAAGTCTGCAGTTTTTGTTTATGCCACTTCAGCATTTTCTAGCATTTGTTGTTAAGTAGGGCCTGATCCCATGTTTTGTGTGGGCAGACGGGGCCCAGGAGGGTCCAGGATCAGGTCCTAATTTAGCGAAATATTTAAGCCCATGGGGTTAGTTTAAGCACAGCATTAAAGCCATGGTATGGTGTGGTATAAGCCATGGTTCTACAATTGCTAATACCAGACTGATTCTGTATCACCTAGTCATACAGATTTGATCTGGGTAGGATGTGAGCACAGTCAAATTTCTGCCAAATTACGCAGAACACATGAAATAGCTCCTGTGTCGCCCTTATGCCAACGGCAGGAGGGCACCCGGTGGCTGATCCCACGTGGCATTTGGGCTACAGGAGGATGAGTTATTACAAGATCAGTGCTCTGTGTCAGGTGGCTGTGGCACTTTTCATATGTCACAAGTAGCTCTACGGTCAGATTTACAGTATCTTTGAATCATGGCTTTAAAACTGTCTACTTAAACTTTCTCCAGAAGATTGGGTTGCCTTGGTTACAGCCCAATCCTTAAGCATATCCCCAAGGCTAACACTAGTATTTTATGAATGTGATAGTTTTATTGTCACTTATTTTAATCACTGCCTGAACGTTGCTTTTACAAACAGAAAGCAACACCATTGCCTTAGCCTATCAGATAATGCACCTTTAATTTTGTTTTTGTTTTTTTAATATTTTAATTCTTAGATTTTTATCACAGCTGCAAAACACTTGGGTAATGACTTAATCATAGAGGTGTGGGAGTACTAGAGTGTTTATTATGTAAAGTTCACTATGCTAGTGTTCATGCTGACGGCAGGAGCGAGACTTTCATGGGACACAGGCCTGAAGTTCACTTTCTGCCTATCAGCAAAACGTGCCTGAGAAGAATGAGAAAAAAGTGGTTTTTAGAGAAATGGTGATTGTTGGAAAGAATATGCAACAAGTCGTACTGAAATCTCTTTGGACCTGTTACGGCTGCTGTTTGGCCATGGTCAGCCAAGCCTAGCTTAGGTTTGATAAACAGTGGTTCCTCTTGGTTTTGAGAAAGTCTAGCAGATTGAGGGATATCAGGACCCCAGAGAAGGTTCTTGAGGGAAATCCCATGTCTTTGCCCTCCTTCAGCATCAGAGAGAAATGTTAGACACCTGGTGCTTCAGCTGAACAGCTCAGAAAGGATTTGAGTTTATAACTGTTTTCTACTGATACCTGGTTCCCGCAGTTGGTTCATCATGTTGATTTGCTGTTTGTTTACTGAGTTGGGTTGATCACACCTCATATAGACTTCCATACTGTAAGTCAGGGCTATTGGAGAGAGATATGCTGAAGAACCTCGCTGTGGTGAAATGCCCGCGAGAAAACACTAGTGATGGTAATTGAGGT